ATTTTTTTATCAGGACAAGTAGATTGTCATGAGGGACAAGTAGATTGAGACACTGATTTAGTCCCTGGACAAGTACTTTTTTAAAAAATGTCCACACCCCTGTAAACTGTAACAGAACTTCTAGTAATAGAGTCATTTTTCAGAAATTCAGGCAATGAGAAAATTTTGCATCAATCCGAGTATGGACATAATACTCTGCCGCTAATGGCCACAGTACAAAGACTGAGACACCACAGCAAAACTTATAGACCACCACTATCCACTGTTCCTAGATAATAGCACGGCAATGGCTAAGGGATTCTGTACAAGGCAGAGAACAGTATGTGAAGGTAACATACCAAGATGTCTTCAATCTTCATTGGGGTGAATGAAATAGGAAAATATCAGAGACTGGTTACACCATAGAAATACATTTGAGAATGTTCATATTGTTAATGGACCCAGCACAACCGTAAGAGCAGAGTTTGAAGGTAGCATACCACGTTGCCTTCATTTTTTCCTGAGATATATTCTTGGCTTGGTATACTGGATCAATACCTCCTAATAAGGAAAGGACTCATATTGCCAAGCCTAGGGTAAAGTACAGTAGATGAAGATAACATACCAGGATGCTTTCCGGAGGTTCCTTTAGGCCAGGGCTCAACAAATTCCAGGCCCCAGGTTGAAATGGCAACTAGAAATTGCATCCTAGAGCCTGGCCTTTTGTCAAACTATTCATTGTTGCAGGGATGCACACCCTTTGTCAGGTGAAAGCATTTGGGCAGTTCTGCTGCTACCCGATTGTTTCCACACACTGGAAAAGTGCCCCTGTGCGTGCCCCCCACTTTGTTTCCTGAGCTCCGCTTGCTCGGCATAGTGGGCGCCATAGGGTAGAGGAGAGGTGAGCGAAAGTGCACTATTTTGTTCCTGACTCAGAAGCGACGTATATGACGTAATTCTAAGCCTCTGTTGACAGTTTCCCCAGCCATTGAGGCCGGGAAAGAATGTAATGCAGTGTGATTTGAACTGCATTACATTCAATGGAGCACAGGGGAGACATGCAAGGTCTTTTAGACCCTGAATGCTTGCTTTAAAGAGAACCTGTCACCAAAAAATCATCACATTGGAAACGTTTTGTCCCCTATGTGATGAAAAAAAAAGTTCCGTAGAAAATATATTTTTTTTAATTGTAGAAAATGAAAGTTACATCCAAGCACATAAAACCCCCCCCCAAAAAAATATTTTGAGGTCCCCCCATTACCACATATATGCATGTACAAATGTAAACACACATGCAGGGGTGCCTACGCATGAAAACGCCAATTGCAATAGACATGTTACATATCGCCATGCACGCTGGAATGAGAGCAATAATTCTAGCACCAGACCTCCTCAGTAACACTAAGCTGTGGACCCATAGGGGGCCTTTAAAGCGTTGCCTATAGAAAATATAGGGTAGCTGAAGTTGGTCGCCATTTCATGGACGCATGCGAATTTAAGGTTTGACATTTTGGGTATCTATTTACTCGGTGCAACCTCATCTATTACATTTTAACAAAAATTGGATAATGTATTGTTTTTATGCCATAAAAATAACAGTGTGTTTTTACTGAAATTTTGCATTTCCTTGACCCTTGTAACAACATTGGGTGACATCCCTTAAAATCACCTAGTGAGAAAGCTGTCTCATTCAGTAGCATTGTAACTGAATGAGACAGATGTCTGATTTTTGAATAAATAAAATAAAAGCCATAAATTACTTATAATTACCTGCCTCATGGGACCAGCAGGGTAAGTATAAGTAACTTATAGCTTTTATTTTATTCTGCCATTTTATACTCTGAACAGAAAATAACACTTTGCTAGTTAAAAAAAAAAACTGGCTCCTGTTTTTAGCTGGCTCCTAGATTCAAAGCAAATTTGTTAACCCCTGCTTTAAGCCATTAAAAACATTTATTATTATCATTATTATACAGGATTTATATAGCGCCAACAGTTTGCTCAGCGCTTTACAATATAGAACACTCTCACATATTTACGCACTCATGCACACTGGACGTTTTGATAATGCTGGTAACGTTAGCTATGTAAACTCATGTTAAAAACTTGAGTTTTTCAGCTTTTCTTTAGGATTTGGCCACGTTTAGCGTAGTTTTGCCGCATTTGCATTTTTTAGAGTTTTTTTTACAAACAAAATATTTAATTGGTTACAAAAAGTACAAAAACGCTGGTTTGCTGCGTTTTACCATGTTTTGCTGTGTTTTTCAGTCTTAGAGCATTTTTACAGCTAAAAAAACTCCTCTAGAAACCCACTAGTTCTAGGTTTTTTTTTCCAGCCAAAAAACGTCTCTGCCAAAAAACGCTGATTACAGTCTATGTGGACACATAGGATATCATGCTTGGGGGTTTACTAGCTGAAGAAAAAAATGTCACACGCCAAAAACAGCAGCTGTAAAAATGTCAAGTGTGCATGAGGGCTAAGAGTAACAAACTCTATCTCAGCGTTACAAAAGTGCACTCAAAGTATTTGCATTACAGGAAAGCTAGAGCATACTCTGTGATTAACAGACACAGGACATTCAGGTCTGGGAGTTCCAAAATGCAGAATTAAAGTGGAATACCTTATAAAAAGGTATCTGTCTCACAAAATAGAACCTGGGTTACAATAAAGGTAGTTTCACTGCTCTGACTGAAGATCAATCTGGACAGTGCAATGTGTTGAGTTTTGTGCTCAATCAGTTAAAGCGGAGCTCCACCCAAAAGGGGATGTTTCGCTTTAAGCCTTTGTCCCCCGTTCCCCATTAAGGATTGGCACCTTTGGGGAGTGGGTACCTGAATTTGACAGGTACCCGCTTCCACTTTCCACTTCTACTACAATCATCTACAGCGATAGGAAGCGGAAGTTGTCCTCCCCCCTCCCTTGCCATAGTCTCCTGGGACACGTGACAGGTCCCAGAAGACTACGGGACTATTCACAAAGCGTAGCACTACACGCACATGCACAGTGAGCACCAGGCTGTCACAGCCGGGTGCCCACACTGAAGATGCCGGCAACGGGGAGAGAAGACAGCCGGAGAAACCAGCCGTGGTAAAGACACCGCTGGACCGAGGGACAGGTAAGTATCTGTATTTTTAAAAGTCAACAGCTAAGTTTTTGTAGCTGCTGACTTTTATTTATTTTTTATTCAACTGGAACTCCACTTTAACCAAGATATACTTACACAAGGGAGTAACCTGAGACTGGATTACACTTCTCTGAACTACTGTGCATTCTGCCACTAACTGACATGAAGCAAAACCTGGAAAGCAACACAAGCAGAGCTCAGGGCCTGAAGGTCAATTCTAGTATTTCTTTGCAGACTTGCTTAGCTTCTTAACATATTAGATTGTTGTATTCAGTTTGGTCTGCCCTACAGTATATTAAAGGTACATTTCAGGGGGAAAGAGGACAAGTCCAATTTTTGACAAAAAAGAGAAAAAATATATATTAAAAAGGTGACAAGAATTCAACTTATTTTTGTTTGACTTATTTTTGTTTGACAATGTAAACCTCTAGAACAGTGGTTCTCAACCTGGGGGTCGAACGACTCTTTCACAGGGGTCGCCTAAGACCATCGGAAAACACATATTTCTGATGTGTAAAGAGCAGCTACTGTGTAGAAAGCAGCTGCTGTGTTGAAAGCAGCTACTCTGTTAAAAGCAGCTACTGTGCTGAAAGCAGCAGTGTTGGAGGTAAAATGACACTTCATGAATTATAATTACTGGGTAAACAATTTTATGGTTGGGGGTCACCACAACATGAGGAACTGTATTAAAGGGTCACGACATTAGGAAGCTTGAGAACCACTGCTCTAGAAGGAAGCAGTATAACCCCTTGGGGGAGGTTTACTAAAATTGGTGCACAAAGAATCTGGTGCAGCTGTGCATTGTAACCAATCAGTTTTCTAGGTTAGCTTAAATTGAACAAGCTGAAGTTAAAGCTGCACCACATTCACTATATTTATTAGTTTTAGTAAATTCCCCCTGAACTACTACAGCTAAAAATGCCACCTACCTGACTTTCATGTTGACCAATGTTTTTTATACTTTGAGCCACTGACCATGAAGTACGATATAAAAGACAATCTAAATTTGTTGTCCTGACCCACATAATTGTTCTGGGTCATTGGCTCAGAGTGCTGGATGCCACACAGGTAAATAGTATCTTTAGATAAAAAAAGGTAAGCACTGGTTCCCTGTTTTTTTTCTATCACAGGTTAGCCGCAGTATAGGTTAATATATGTGAACCCTTACTTGTAAAACAACCCATTCAGTTTAAAATAGAAATGCAAGGTGAAATAGTATATATATATATATATATACACACACACACACACACACACACACACACACACACTATGTTGCCAAAAGAATTGGGATGTCTGCCTTTACACGCACATGAACTTTAATGGCATCCCAGTCTTAGTCTGTAGGGTTCAATATTGAGTTGGTCCACTCTTTACAGCTATAACAGCTTCAACACTTCTGGGAAGGCCATGCACAAGATTTAGGAGTTTGTCTATGGGAATGTTTGACCATTCTTCCAGAAGTGCATTTGTGAGGGCACTGATGTCGAACGAGAAGGCCGGGCTCACAGTCTCCACTTTAGTTCATCCCATAGGTGTTCTATCGGGTTGAGGTCAGGACTCTGTGCAGGTTAGTCAAGTTCTTCCACCCCAAACTCACCCATGTCTTTATGGACCTGGCTTGCATGTTGGAACAAGAAGGGGCCATCCCCAAACTGTTCCCACAAACTTGGGAGCATGAAATTGTCCAAAATGTCTTGGTATGCTGACGCCTTAAGAGTTCCCTTCACTGGAACTAATGGGCCAAGGCCAAACGCTGAAAAGCAACCACACACCATAATCCCCCTCCACAAAAATTTACACTTGGCACAATGCAGTCAGGCAAGTACTGTTGTCCATCAGATTGCCAGACAGAGAAGCGTAATTCGTCACTACAGAAAACACATCTCCACTGCTCTACAGTCCAGTGGCAACGTGCTTTACACCACTGCATCTGATGCATTGCATTGCACTAAGTGATGTAAGGCTTGGATGCAGCTGCTGGGCCTCGGAAACCCATTAAATGTAGCTCTCTATGCACTGGTGTAGTGCTAACCTGAAGGCCACACAAAGTTTGGAGGTCTTAACTATTGAGTCTGCAGACAGTTGGCGACCTCTGTGTACTGTGTGCTTCAGCATGCACTGACCCCGCTCTGTTATTTTACATGGCCTACCACTTCGTGGCTGAGCTGCTGTTGTTCCCAGTTGCTTCCACTTTATTATAATACCATTAACAGTTGACTGTGGAATATTTAGTAGCAAGGACATTTCATGGATGGACAGGTGGCAACCTATCACGGCACCATGCTTGAATTCACTGAGCTCCTGAGAGCAGCCCATTCTTTTAAAATTTTAGTAGAAGCAGTCTGAATGCCTCGGTGCTTGTTTTTATACACCTGTGGCCATGGAGGTGATTGGAACACCTGAATACAATGATTTGGAGGGGTGTCCCAATACTTTTGGCAATATAGTATTTCTTTCTTCTAAGTCAGGCATCACTAAATGGCGGACCGTGGTCCGAAAATGGACCGAATGAGAACCCTATACGGACCGCGACTCCGACACTTAGCAGCCTGGATGTTCTCCCTCTTGCAATATACAAGTATAAGTATATACTGTACATATAGAATTAAAAGTGATTATGCTTACAACAACCTGAATTTACACTGCATTTGGCCCTTTAAATTAAAAAAAAAAAAAGCTTGTGACATAAATTTGTATTACCTGCCCTTATCAACTGAAGATTATTTGGTTGGTTATGGATAAGTAAATGGGTGCCCTGGTCACCATAGCTCTATAGCACATAACTTGCACCCCAAAAACACTTGCAGCACCCAACAGGTAAATTGAGCTGACATTTATGACATTTAGGCACCCACAGGCAGTAATAGCAGTTTAGGAAGCCTAAAGTTATTAGGGCTTTTGTTAAGTAGAAAAAAGTATGTTTAATAGAAATTTAAATATACCTCAATATTCAGCATCTGCTGTACATTACTACTGCCCACTGAGAGCTCATTAAAGTTTAACTCCCGGCAAACAGCTAAGTACACAAATTAAATACATATAAGAGAGTTGTTTGTCCTCCCAAAGGATTTGTATTTCTCTCCAACCATTTGTGAGATATACACAGCACAGCTCTGTCTGTTAATGTCAGGACCCTAGACCGCTACAGGGGGAAGCAGTCTAGCTGTGGGGATGATCAGGTTAACGCTTACAGTTCAAGCACAGCCCTGCTGCAAGGGAATGTTTAAGTATTTGCCTGGAGCTGGGCTTTAAGGTACTTACACTGCTTGTATTTAAACTATTTATTTTATGTATTAATGGCAACAGACCTGTATTGATTTATATATTTTATATCTGCCTGGAGTTTTACTTGTAAGGCTGGCTACAGTGAAATTGAATTCACCTAATATACATAGAGTAGCTGTAAAAGTAATATGGCGTGAAATGCCTACTTTGGTTGACACTGTATCTTTCACACATTGGTACAGCTACCCTGGGTACTATTCCTAGCTGTTGGAGCAGGATTTCGAGTTAGGATACTGAATGCAGGATACATAGCATGAATAATTTCCTCATCAGTACACATAACAAAAGTAACCACAAACAAGAAAACAAGCTCGAAAAATGATCAGGGAGGTAAAATGCTTACATTACATAAAGCGCTATCTGTCTACACTATCCCATTGAAATGTATCTCAGTGGTTTTAGAATTATACGTGTTAAGAGTTTATTCAGCCTAGTGTTTAGGTTGCCCAGTTTTATTTAAAGATAGCTTTTCCTGCCAAAGTTACATAGAACTTTCATTTAGTGCCTTAAATTCAAGAGAAAAACATTTAACCACAAACCCCATTTGGATGAAGAAAGTCATACTCTGGCAAAATCTGTATGTGAGCCTGTGTTACCAGATGAAACATTTCATATTTTTTCATTTGAGATTATTTAGTAGAGAAATAAATAAAGGTAAAAAGCGACCTTATTAATTACTATAACAAAACAGACGTGTTTATTTTTCCTGTTAAAAAGCCCCATTGTGCTCAACCCAGAAACTGTGATATTACATGTATAAATGCAGTTGCTTGTTTTTTATAGCCGTAAAAAGAAAAACACTAAAAACAATATCCAATCAATCACAACATTCAAAACCAATATCAAATGCAATTTTCTGTAGAAAAATAAAATGCAAAAATCCAAAATGCATACCCAAGGCCAGGACAGTATTAAACATATAGTAGTAAACATATAGAAGCTTCTCCACCAGGAACATCACCGCTTGGGTTATTTAGAAAGCCTTTGAAGAATGCTATGTTGGTCTTCTCTCTACAAATAGGGAGCAAGTATTGGACAAGGTTTCCTTTTTTTAAGTACACTATTATGGGGAAACTAATGGTTTTGTGTTTATTTAATTGTTTTACTCCTATTTTGTATAATTTGTAGTATCTGTAAAATATCCTTATTTGACAAAAGGGTTGATTTACTAAAACTAGAGAGTGCACAATCTGGTGCAGCTGTGCATGTTAGCCAATCAGCTTCTAACTTTAGCTTGTTCAATTAAAATGGAACATTAAAACAGAGGTCCAAAAAAATAAAGTCAGCAGCTACAAAAACTGTAGCTGCTGACTTTTAAAAAACGGACACTCACCTGTTCTTCGATCCCGCGGTGTCTTCACACAGGCCAGGTTGACCGACCATCCTGTCTCCTCAGTGCCGGCATCTTCAGTGTAGGCACCTGGCTGTGACAGCTTGCGGCTTCACAGACGGGTGCCCTTTGCGCATGCGTGAGTAGCGCTGAGCTTTGTGAATAGTCCTGTTGTCTTCTGGGACCTGTCACGTGTCCCAAAAGACTATGGGGAGGGGGGGGATAACTTCCGCTTCCGATCAACTAGGCGATCACAGCAGAAGTGGAAGCAGGTACCTGTCGGGTACCCCCTCCCCCCCCACACTGCTCCCCAATCCTTAACGGGGAGCAGGAGACAAAGCCTTAAAGGGGAACTTTCCCTTTTGGGTGGAGCTCCACTTTACGTCCTGCTAGATCACTTCAGGTTGGCCCCTTTTTCAGGTTTGCACTTATTAAAAATAAGTGTCTATACTGTTTAAAATCCAGTAACACGCTGTCTCACCCTGCTCTGCATATGTTCAATTGCTCTCCATTTTTAGGTATTTTTAGGCATTGCTGAATCTGTAGAGGCCAATCTGCTAACAGTCTTAAAGTGGCATTAAACCCTCCTATCCTTTACAGCCAAGAAAAATGCTTCTGTTTGATCTGCAACTGCCATGGTACTGCACATGTGATCAGTTATAACCACAGCCATTTGTTGGTTTGAAAGTTTGGTTGAGGACACATGCAACTGTGACAGTTATCAATCCCAGCATTGCAAGAATGTAACTGCTTTTTGAAACTGTTCAATCAATGGGTTTTGTTCTGCTTTATGATTTACTGCTGCTCAGGGACTCTGGGCTTCATCAAAATGGCAGCCTCTATCACGAAGAAACAGGAGCAATGTTGGAAGCAATGTACAGCACACTCTCATTTTGGTAGCATAATTATTAATGTGGAATGTATGCTTCTTGCTAAAGAACATTATTTTTTATCATGTTATGTGTAAAGTTTCACTTTAAGCTTTGGCAAAAAAACCTTGAAGCTGATTTGTTTCTATGCAGAGCTGCACCAGATTTTGCACTTTCCAGAATTAGTAAATCAATCCCATAGTTGTTTGCGGGCATGCCGAAAATCACATAAAGCCCAGCACTAGTGATGTGCTTATTGACTGCTCCTGTGTGGGTTTTTCCAGAAGCATACATGGAGGTAAAATAATATATATTGTGACATACTGAATTGAATATATTGTGAATATACTGTGAATATACTGTGAAGGAACAGTGAAGAACAATCATTGTGCAACACTATGGAGCAGGAAGCAAAGATTGCTTATATAAAGGCTACTTCCATTAATACAATTAAACACATTGATTGAATACACAGTTTATCTTGGCTCACATCCTGTAAACAACATGTAAATTGGGTGAACCTGGCAAACTCAGCAAGTCTCATCTTTTTGGCAAATTGCAAATTTGCGATTCTCATTAATACGAACAAGCAGATTTTTTGATCCTCAGAGAATAACCTAATTCATGGATCCATACTGCTTAATTTCATGAATTATGCTATTCCAAGCACATAAGATACATCTGCGAGAACACATTCAAGAAAATCAAAATCTGTGTTTCATGGATAAAAAGGAGACTCTAAATTCACTAGCTGGTATTTGTTCAGAATAACTTGCAATGTGCAATCTGGGACGACAGTTTTTTTTAAGTGCATTACCATATGATTGGCCACTGGAGCTTTGAGATCTACAGGGGTTGATTTACTAAAGGGAAATAGACTTTGCAGTTTGCAAATGCAATTGCTCAAGAGGTTAGTAAGTGAGGGGAAGTTCTGCTGACTTCCATTATCCAATCATGTGCAAGAAAAAATGTTTTTGCTTGCACATTATTGGGTATTCTTTGCAAAGTAAAGATCTGCCTCATTTAGAAAGTTCTGGAGCAACTGTACTTGCAGACTGCAGTCTATTTGCCTGTAGTAAATCAACCCCTTAGCCCTAAACATCTAGTTTACAACTGATAGTGAGATCTGTTAGCCAGTATAGACAGGGAAACAAACCTCCACATCCCCAATGTTATATATAAAAGGGCATCATCAGGTACAATTTTATAGGAATTTTTATCAAATAACAAAGTAAGCATTCATTTGTAAAAGGTGTTATCCCAATCTGGCTGCAAAAGTGGAAATAAACTATAAGTAAATTATAGGTGGGGACATCTAGTCTTCAGTTTCCCATAGTTGATATATGCATATATTGGGTTTCTGGGGCCACAGGGGTGAGAATGCTCAAGTACACAATAAATGATGCATGCTAGTATTACGGATTTCCTGCTTTCAATAAGTGTTGCGGATCTACATCATTTTATACAGACATGTTTAGTTTAACCGTCAGCAAATGTAATGGAAATATAATATAATTAAAAGAACTGACCACTAAACTCATAAAAAACCTTTATATACTGTATCAAGTACATTTACAAAGTATTTATTTTATGAAGTATACTTTGTGTACATTGTGTAAGCTTTAATTTAAAAGAAATTCCTTCATATTTTAGGTCTTATGCAAGCAGGTGTCAAAATAGTTACGTCCACATGCATTTGGATTTAATTTCCTAATGCATCTGGAACCATGTCATTCACACAATGGATGTTCAGCTGCATCTACAGTGGGTGCA